TAAATCCCTACTACTCTCTTACTAATCTTCCTGTAATCTGTACTATCTACCTAACCAGTACAGTAATTTATATAGAGAACATCTTTAATAAAATTTGCTGAATTGAAGGCAGCAAAAAAAAAAAAAAAATCGAATAGGCAAAAAACAAATCTATGTTAAAGCCTCATGAAGTATCATAAAAACCAAAAGGAAACACATACAAAAAATTGTTTCATACACACACATCCACCCACCCCCATGGGCAATGCACACAAAGTTCAAAAAAGTTGTGTCTTTGTTGATATATTGAGTATGGATAATTCAACTTACCAGGTATTTTCTTATAGAATGGACATGTCCTTTTTCTTAATTCTCCTGCATTAGATGACTCTGAGATTTTCTTGTTCCCTCTTTGCAGCTCGCCATGAGCTGATTTTACAAAGGCTTTGTCTTTACTTAAATTGACTGTTCCAGATTCTGTATTGTTAATAAGGTGATCTGACCTCTTCCTTCCTGCTCTCTTCCTGCTCTCTTCCTTCTGACCTCTTCCTGCCCCTTCCTGCAGTGAATTTGATTTTTTAAGTCTTTTTCTTCGACGCTGCAACCTCTCACTGGAAAGTTCCACTGAAATCTGACTCTCATTTAAATTCTTTGCATCAAATTCTAAATCACTTAAAGACTTTTCTGCTTTCCTCTTGCACTGCAAGGACCTCTTTTTATTAGGACTTAGAACTGGATTTAAGTTTATCTCTTCTAATGCACTTTCCCCCAGCAATTTCTGTTCTTTTCTTTTAGGTGGTAGTCCAAAATATACACCTATATCCGTTTGCTTCATTACCTTGGTAGGTGTTCTTGCATTACACTTAGGACCAGAAGGTGGTATTTTCAAAGACTCAGAAGCAGTAGGTGCACCAGAAAATTTTTTTGTATTTAAAACTGTAGCTTTACCATCTAGCATACCAACTAATGCCTTTCTGTGGAAACTTGCTGAGTTAGTACTGTTCTTGGCACTGAGGTTCTCACTAGTTAATTCTCTAATTTTACTTTGGGTTGGATGGAAAGAAAGATACCCTCCTTCCTGGCTTTCAAAATGTTTCGATATTTCGCCTGTAACTAACGGAAGAGAAACTTGATTATAAACAGCTGATCCTTCAATGACCTGTTTCTGTTTATTTGATTGAGATGAGTGAAATTCTTGCTCATAAGGTTTTACTTTATAATTAGAAGCAGCAAGCTTCCCTGCTAATGCAGGTGGAAACAACATAAAATCACCACCAGTATATGCTGGATTGTAATACGAAGTAATATTCTCATTATTTTGGGAAGTAAGTTTAGACGAATCATTTAGAGTACTGTATTCATACAGTTCTTCATCATACTTATTTTGAGTTAAGAAGCCGTTCACTTTGGGGCAGCTCTCCTCCTGGTCCTGCAATAAGGGATCTTGTAGTTTTTCAAACAAAGTAGAGCTGTGGTCATCTTCTTCTAGGCTGCCATCTTTTGAGCTTTCAGTAAAAAATAGTTCCTGTTGTGAATCATCCAGCTTTTCATCTACGTTGTGAGTTTCTTCATCACTCTGAAGTGGAGAATAGGAGATTTCACAGTCACTAAAGTCATTTTCCGGCAATGCCAAATTTATGGGTTCTGAGTTGTTTTGGCTGTCTAATTCTTCATCGGCAAGAGGCAAACCAACTCCTACGAGTTTGTCATTCTTAACAAATTCTGTAAATTGTAGAGCCCTCTGGGATGTTTGGCTATTTGCAGAAGAGGAAATCTTTTTGTTGGTTTCAGCTGGAGATTGAGATCGAGATTTTCTTAAACACTGCGTCTTCAACAATGGATTGTTTGAAATAACTTTTAAATTCTCAGTTTGTTTCTCATACAGAGACCATCTTTCCTCAAGGCTACAAAGAAAGCCTGAATTATTCTCTCTGAAACTACCACCTGACACACGTGATGGGCTGCTAAAAGGGCTATTACTAGCCCTGCTTTGAGCCAGGAGAAAGTGAGTATATCTCTTGTAATGAGAAGGAATTGTTGAGGTACACAGAAGACCATCAGGACACTCTGAAAATTTTAACAAAGAAAAGAGTATTATAGTATTAAAGCATAAATTAAGCTTTGACACCATTAGCACTATAAATTAACATGCAAGTGAAAAAAGTATCAGTCAGTCCTACTTCGTGGCCTGAGGACAATAGCTATTTTTAACTGCAAAGATCAATCAGCATAAAATATCAACACTTAATCCAGCACAGTTTTGCAAGGTGCTGGCTATTAGTTTTAAATCAAATACTCTCAAATTTCTTTTCAAGTAATCTTTTCTCAAAGAAAAAATTTTAAGACTAACAGCTGTTTTCTTTCCTAAGTAACTCCTCCAAACGTGAGGCCCTTGAAAATGCATGTCATGTTTATAGAATATTTCTTAAATGGATGCTACAAACTTGACA